TCCAAACCTCGTGTGTAAATTTTAGGTGGGTGACTTAAGTGTTTAACCACCGGAAGACCAAAAACTTAGTTGAAAAGGCTAATAACCCCACGTTTTCAAATTTGTCAGAGATGGGAGATCTGGGGTTATTAGACTTGCTTGTTATTTGGTACTAATAGTACCATGGTAATCAGTGTTAGTTCATTTCTCCAATGAGATGATTAATTATTCTTCGAAGCATTATAGATATTTTCGCCTTACAAAAACGTCTCACAGTTTATTATTCAGATACCTATGAACTAATGGTAAACTTCTACATTAATGTTTGCTTAAATATGGTTGAATCTATTATCCCTGATACTGGGAGTTTTAGTAGAATATTTCCAATTGCATGTCCTCTGACGCCACAATTTGTTTACACACTCAACTACGGTAGAATCTACAGAGAATAGCAATCTACCTGACATAAAACATAAACAAGGCGCAATTTTTAAGCAATAAATAAGGTTGAATAAGCAAATATACAGAATTACTGTACACTTATCAATTACTCACACCCGCTTAGTGCGAGTAAGTTAAAGCAAAGCAATACTAGGTTCATTTATTTTCTAGTAGTTTAGTATTACAGTTTTGAAAATATATTAAGTAAGTAATTTTTGACCATAAACAACTGATCCGTAATTAAAGAGACAAGGTAATAGTAAAATTCCTGGATTAAAAATGAGAGGCTTACAAGAATTACTTTGGTGATATTTGGTTATTATTCGTACATTATTTTTTTATAGTATAAAAGTATGGAAGCTGTAAGATGAATTTCCTCAGAATATTAGGCCATATCTCAGGCGGGATTGTAAATTCATGAAATATATACAACGAGCAGAATGAAGGCTGACTGAATTTCTAAGAATTCTGATCGCGGTGGATAATGAAATTAATTTAGTGTTCAATTCATTTAAATGGACGTTCCATTTTTAGGTTTGTCTGAATTGAGAGACCTAAAAATGTTCTTACTTAAACACCAGCCAATGGCACGCCGTTCATTTTCAAGTACAAAAATGTTTCTTTACAATGAAAAACTCCACGGAAACAGTTTAGTTTTCTATTTATGTACTATCTATTAATTTGTTGTTACGGAAGCAATTTGAAACATCTGATATTGTACTGAAAGTGGAGAAGGACAAAGAAGGAAAGATGTCACACGGTCTTTGGTTTGCGACCTCACTGCTTGATTGTTAAGTAACTTTTCTATCATTCGCCTGATATGCCCATTTGGGTATATGAATGGGGGAAACCACCGATAAGATCTGCTTGTCACTTGAATTCTCGTGCAGACAGAGACTGAATTCGACCTATTGTTGAGACCACAGAAATAGGTGGATGAAAGGCGAAGCTTAATTGTTATGATTGATCCTATGTTGCTAAACATTGAAGGAGGCGCCTGTCAATAAATTTCGAAGATCATAGTTCTCAATTATTGATTGTGTAATTCCATTACGTTCATGTTTTACAGAATACATGACATGGGATTTATATGAAAATGCTGAACGTAATAAGATTAAATTTCCGGGTTGGTGGACCGTGGTCCAGTTGACATTGAAGGGTGACTTGAGTCGCGAGTCAACCTCTACACCGCCTACTGACCCTGCCGCCAGAGAATATGTTCACTGTAGTCGTGGAGGAAACGACTGGCACTTCAATGTAATTGGACCACGGCCCACAAACCCGGAAATTTCCTTTTAAATTGACTTCGGCCGTGAAATCCTACGATGCTATACATGCAACACATTGTTTGTCAACTATTATACGAATAAATAGCTTCTGATACATTGTGATTCGATTGTTCAAAAGTAAAGGATGCTGCTCCTAAGTGAAGATTTATTATCAGGCAAATTTATTAGGTTATATAATAACCACATAGGTTTAATCAAATAAATATTTGTTTGTACAAACGATGCAGAAAAGTGCGAATTTAGTGCAATTTCAAAATGAGTCGAAAAAGGGTAAAAAGTCAGTATTATTTCGCAGAATTCATACTACCAACTTTGTAGAATGTTGAATTTACTCCAAAGGCCAAAATATAAGGAATAAAAAATTAATTAAAACTCACCTTTAAATGAAAATAAGTCTTGTTCCACCGCTTCCACCACATATAGCTTCTCATGTCTTGTTTATGTTTACGAACACGCTAGTCACTAAGAGAATTTGCTTTTCAGGAACGTTCCCCGCTGAAATATCTTCATTAAATCCGGCTGTGATGCTTGCGAAAAAGTAAGCTATTCACTACGAATCCAACTGAAGATCACAAATTATTCGCGTGTAGCTGTTCGATAAATGTCGCACATTAACCTCACTTAATGACCGATACGGCCGCTCAACAGCCCAGCACTGAAAGAAAACGCTCTAGCATGAGCAACGCTCGCCAAAGAGATTCAACAGCAAAACGTTTGCAAGTGACTAGAACAGAAGATTTTGGCTCGAACTTTAAAATGATTAATTGATAATTAGGACATTGAAATCCAGAGAATACACACGAGGAGATATATTATTTAATTAAATATAAAAATTTAATAAAATGAGTAGAATATCGACGAATGAGTGTCACAAGGAAGATTAATTCTAGGGCCAATCGCGAGAGGTGGCTCAGGGCATCAACTGATATTACTGCAGTGCCTCTTATCTGGAGGTCTTAGGTTCGAGTCCTGACGGAGATACGAGTTTAATGACCTTAATAATTTGACGCGCCCGAAATCACTAAACAATCAATAAATACTAATACCAAAAAACTGATATTTGCTTTCAACTAGTTATAAAGGGAAATAAAAACTTCCTTAAACTTGTATCTTGATTATTATGAGAATTAATTAAAAATGTCTTACAAATATTCGCCGAAACATGAATAAAAAGCGTTTTTGCGGTTTGGTAAAGAGTTGGAAGCCATTGAAATTTTAAAGGGGAAATTGAAAATGAAAATGTCCATTGGAGATGAAAAGACGAACCTGCACCGGCGATGGACATAATCAGAATTCCACTGATTACGAAAAAAATAATGAATTTCATGGTAATTGTTATTTTCTTTTACAAATTTATATTTTTGTTAATAGAACGTGGATTAAACTACTTTTTTCTCAAAAGGGAATTGTATGGAGAAACGGGAAGTATTTTTGAATGTATGCATTCTCGAATACTGTTATATTCATGATATTTTGAGTAGTATTCATATCATTCAATACTTTTGAAATATGTTACAAACCGCCAGCAAAAACGAGGGCCACTTCCGACCCACATATTTTTCTCAAGAGCGGTGTCCGTAACAGTAATCCCCAGACGCCTACAGATGCGAGAAAACGATCCTGTGGCGCGTTACGTCTCGACAGACGTCTCCTGTGATCCCGATTATCATTTTCGATCTCCGCTTTCCGTGAGTGAGTTGTAAAGGGCGTCGAGGGCGAGCACACGCCCTTTTATACCGTCCGCATGCCCTGAGCGATATATGCGGGCACACAGCGGTTGCGCTGATAGCCACGGCGCTGTATATCGCGCGTGGGGTTGCTGGCCTCTTGAGTCGGCAACGGTCCAAGGACGAGCCAGGGGTTTTGCGGGTGGGAAAATTCAAATACGCGGGGTGTATTTGTGGTCGAATAGGGGAACCTGCCCACTCTACCAGAAATTCGATTATAATCACGATAAACGAAAGAAGCACATCTACGAATAAATATGAACCAAAAACACAATTACTATGTAATCGTGAAAGCAGATCTAGTACACATATGAGTATTTACTTTATACAGTAATGCAAATATTAAAAAAAAGTTGTAGAAACGTTTTGTTGTACTAAGTAAATAACGACAGATACTCAAATATATTTAAACACTAATAATAATTTATAAAATGGCTGCAGGTATACAAATGATACAAAAACATACTGACACCTTATCTTTAGACAGAAAAACGTATATTTCAAAGACACTTTATCGTATATTTCAATTACACTTCACGTTAACTAAATGCCTTGATAACGAGAAAATATTATCTTTTGCTGAATATGAAATACAATTTAAGTATTTTACTTTAACGTACTAATATCTGAAACATTGAAATCTTTCAATGCAGAAAGCTCCTGCTTTTACTGCGCCCCGCCTGCAAGCTTTACCGTTTTCCTCAAGTAATGTCAAAGATAGCGCTAATAACCGACATCCACAGTGTCGAAATTTCCTTTTATTTCCTCTCCCACCACGCCGAATCCTACGGCCCCCGTCTTGTGCCCGTTGAGGTCACGCTTATGCGAACCGATGCAAGTTAATCATTAGAGTTTTTTTCAACTTAGCTTCTTTGTTTTCAGTTCTCCGAGTTTCCTTGCAGTAGAATAGAATCATCGTCAAACATTGATGTTTTTTTTTCGATTTATGTTGATACTGGATGTAAATTATTATTTTTGAAAGTTTATTTTATTACACGCGTTTTTGCTTTCTTCTTCCAAAGAATATTTGCTTTTCAGTCCTTAATTCAATAATAATTTCATTAGAAGTTAATAAAAAATGGGCAAAGTTTACAAGTGTTATAAAATATTTGCATTCTCGCACTACCATAATTTATTAACATACTTTTAATGTTAAGGCAATGTTAATATACAATTTTATAATCGATATTAATAAGTATTGAATTTTTAAAAAAAGCAATCCACATCCTCGCCCACTTTTCATGATTTTTTACTTTTACAAAATATTCATTTTTATTTTCCCGAAAGGAAAATCAAATTAATAAATCACAAAACAATTAGATATGATTTCCCATAAACAAGAATGTCATTACTTGTTTTCCCAACTCTTCATGCGTTTTGTTTTACAAGAATAAAGACTGAAGAGTTTGCTGTGGATTAAAACCACCCTATTTGAAATTGTCTCTATATTTTCTTTAGTGTGTTGCAACTAGGCTTTGATTTATAAAGCACCTCCGCCTCCACCCCCGTCCCCGCCTACGTCTGCGTCTCCGTCTCCGTCTCCCCTTCCCTCCACCTCTCTCACGTCCCCTTCCTCTGCTCCCACCTCAACCTCCACCTCCGTTTCCGTCGCCGCTCTCGCCGCCGCCGCCGCCACCGCCGCCGCCGCCGCCGCCCCTCTGTCCGGCACAGCCTCCACTGGCGACGTCCGGAAATTGCATGACAATTCCAGGCCGGCCGCGCCCCCGGCGCAGCCCCCGCCGCCGCCTCCGCCCCCGCCCCCGACCGCAGAAGCACGGCCTCCGGGCGCTGGCACGGACGCTCGCTTCGGGGTAACCCCCACCAGAGGAGGCGGCGCCATTCCGCCACTGAAGTCTTTTGATCAGTGCTTCCCACTGAGACTCTTTAACGTGCTACGGTGTTGCAATGCGCACGTCCAGTAATAAATAATTTTTATTCTACGCTACTATTATTTTATTGTACGTTTCGATTGTCTACGCTGAAATCAAGCTTTCGCCCATATAATTTAGCGCTCTAACTTGTCGTAATAAACCCGTGTTCAGCGTTTATATCTACGCCATTGTGTACCTTGGTAATAACTTTGAACAAGACTGCATTTGAAGTTCGAGCATTTATTAGAACGATTTAATAGAACATTCCCAATTCCTGAAAAAAATACAAATCTCTAGTATATGGCTTTCGATGCCTTTTTTGCAGATAATTACAAGACAGTTTCACCGATGAGATGGAGAAACGAGGAAGCTTCAGTGCTGGGCGGTAGTCGATATGAATTTCGTGCCCTGAAGTCACTTGAAATCAATTTTGTCAAAGACCATTTTTTTTTCTCGAAAATACTCTCCCTGACATTCTTCATAAAATTCTATACAGAATCGTGGATGTTTTCTTTTGCAATGGGAGCTTCGGGTCATCTGAATATAAGCTACTTAGCAACCACACCCCCGAGGTCATGAGTATCAAAATAATTGAACACTTAACGAAACCAACTAAAGGTTGACAAAGGTTCTAGTATCATTCTACTAAGTTTGTTAAGAAATAAGATGGATGGATTGATTGATTATGTGATTACGGGTTGCTTCAACGGGTGGTATAGTCATTATTCCCGTAAGAGTGGTTATTTTTTATCGCGGGATGTGGTCATCTTCCCCCCTGGCTGGCGAAATTCGGCGTCAACTTACAGCGGCATGAGGGAATATTTCCCAGCCAGGTATCTCCCACCATCAGTGCACCGCTCCAACCGGGACAAGCTCTAGTTTCCGACATGTGTGATACAGTATGACATCTAATTGTAAGTGTATTGTAGTGTAGTTGTAGTTGTAAGGGTGAGGCTAGAATAACAAAGAGAGAGGACAGATCACGTGCGGTTTATGGCTCGAATGTTCAGGTACTGCTCCGACCTTCGCTGGAGTTGATAAGAGGAACTAGCGATCCGAGCAACGGGCCGCTAGAATTCTCCTCCAGACAGGGACTTATTTCGACCTAGATATCTACCCAGAGTCGAAAATTCTGCCATGGTCGGATCTCGAATCTAGGACTTCCCGGTCAGAGGCACTGCAGTTACATCAGTTGATGCCTTGAGCCACAGTAAATCGCCATCGACAAACGTCCTAGTGTCATTATACTGTTTTTAATGAAATGCGGCAGTGGGGCGGGGGTGGACAACGGGTGGGCAAGGGGAAGGGGTGGCCAAGACGGGGGAAGTGGGTCGCCGTAGAATACTTCGCGAAAGTTGATCTCGGCGCCACTCAAGTTAAATTTTTATGTGAGCTACCGGCGCCGAGGGCCATCGACTTACTTGAACTTTTCCCAGAAAGCCACATTATTAAAGAGTAAAAGAAATATAACAAGTTGACGTCCCAATTCCATAGACTCTGGATGATGGCCAGCGATTGGAGCTGGCTTAAGGGCAACCAAAGTTTCTTGGCCTGCAAATCTGCACCCGTGAATTTTCCAGGAATCTCTGATGAAAATGCTTAATATTTACGAAACACTAAAAGGTACTCGTTGTGAAAGTCTACAAAAATAATTTTCTTGACGAAATGAAACTATAAAATGTTAATTACAAAAAAAAACAAAAAAAAACAGTGGTCTCAGTTGTGGAGTATGTATCTATCGTTTTTAATTAATTTCAATATTTACTGTCAAAAAACTAAATATGTGCCGCCAGGAGGTTCAGAATAAAAAAGACATGTATTGAACAATGCGATTTGCGAAATTTTGTATATATCCGCTCATATTTTAAATGAAAATGAATTGCTGTGAAGTCAATAACATTCAATTGGATTCCAGAGTAATTGCTCGTTATTTTATCATTCGCTATCCGATTTAATTGGAAAAATTTCCCACAATTCCAATGCGTTTGTGGAGTGGTGACAAAACCTTTCAATACCATAGTAATAGAATATGAAGTTTAAAAAAATCGCGAATGACATGTGTCTCTTTAAAAAAATATATCTTGTAAATCTGGCAATTTTTCAGATTGTATCAATATGTGTACAAACAGTACAACATGTTACTTCATCTTTGTCAATCAAAATATTTTAAAACATGCTTTTTAAAAGTTCACTACAAACATCAGTAATTGAATTAGTACTTAATTTTTTCTTGAAAATTATTTTAGGTAACGTGAATTTTGCAAATACTTATTATACCAATACAAAAATTATTATACAATCTAACTTAATGCTAATTAGTGTTTACTGACAATTAAGTGGCTTACTTGTAAGCATATTTACATTGACTATAAAAGAGAAGCAGATTTGTATATATTATAAATATAATACTTTGTGTTGTGGTTAGTGATTGACTACATTTGAAAAACTCAATGGCCATTTCCTTTACTTTCACAGGGAGAAGCCTAGCCTCTTGAGGAAAGAAATTTGGAAGTATGTGAATGAATGTTTAAGAAATAATTATGGAATTGGGTCTTGTATGGAAGAAAGGAAATCTATTATGTACTATAGGCCTATGGGGATCTCTAAAATTAAGAATATTTTCTCCCAAATTATATGAAAAATAAAAACAGTGAAGACAATGTGAAATTGTGCCAAAAAAGTGACTATGTACAGAATATTTCAAATATGTGCAGGGCCCTATTATTCTGTCAATTTGTATTATTCAAAGTCTCATTAGTCTGTCAAATGTCATCTTTAACACAGTTTTCAGTTTGGTCTCAATTCTCAGTATTTAGAAGGGGAAGTATCATTTTTTATTTAAAGAAAATAATTAATTGGAAGTAAGATTTTTCTCTTATTTTTGTTTCATTTGTGATAAAAATAATTGTATGTTATGCAATATACATCATGGAGTAATTTAAAAAAAAATAAAAATCTACTTCAAATTATTATTATCTTTAAAAATAAGAAAGAATGCTTCACATTTTATTTTGTCTAAGAGAATAATTTTGGTGTTAATTTTATCAATCTTAATTGAATCCTCAGTATATGTTTTCTATTGTGCTTGTAAAGAGCCTATATTGTGGTGATATGTTGGTATTTAATAAACTGAATATAAAGTCTGAATAC